AGCCTAACCCCAGCACTTAAAAAAAAAAAGCCCCATACTCACCGGCTGCAGGAGCAGTGATTGGGGCCTCTAGGCACTCATGGCAGAGTCCACCCATGCAGCACGGGGTAGTGAGGGGCAGCAGGGATCGCTGCATGCCCCCTCGCTTGGCACCTACTCCATGATGCAGGGGCAGCGTGTCTCAGCAGGGTGCCCCATGCTGCCTGGGAGCTGGGGCTGAGTGCTGCTGGGTTCCGGCTGACTACTGGAGTCACCCCAGCTCCCAGACAGCATGCGGCACCCTGCCAAGCTGCACTGCACCTGCATGATGCAACACTTGCTGCACGGGTGCCAGACAGAGGAGCGGGGCCATCCCTGCTGCCCCGTATTGCATGGGGGGGCTCTCCTACAAGTGCCCAGAGGCCCCAGTCACCACTCCTGCAGCTGGTGAATACGGGGCTTTTTTTCCTTTTCTCTTCTTTTTTTTGAGCCCCGCACTCACCGGCTCTGACAGCAGAGATTGGGGGCCTCTGAGAGCTCATGGCAGAGCCCCCACCATGCAGAACAGGGCTGTGGGGGACAGTGGAGATTGCCCTCCCCTGCTTGGTACCTGCATGGCAGTTGCCCCATGGCGTAGGTGCAGCGCAGTGCGGCAGTGCACCTTGTGCTGTCTGGGAGCTGGGGCCGCTGGGGCTGAGTGCTCCTGGGCTCCGGCTGACACGTGGAGCTGCCCCAGCTCCCAGACAGCACACAGAGCCATGCCAAGACACACTGCACCCGCACCATGGGGCAGCTGCTACGTGGGTGCCAAGTTGTGTGGGAGGTCGATCCCCACTGCCCCCAACTGCCCTGCGCTGTGGGAGGGGGCTCTACCATGAGTGCTCAGAGGCCCCCAATCTCCGCTGTCAGAGCCGGTGAGTGTGGGCTTTTTTTCTTTCTTTCTTTTTTTTTTTTTTTTCAATGCCAGGAGGCTGGACCGGGCAGGGGATGGGGCCGGGCAGGGCAACCATGGGGGCTTCTCCCACGGCTCCCCCCAGCCGTGCCTGCCTCTC